AGTAGTGATGCGTTGTTGTAACAGAAACTTRAGGCTTTTTTGGTCRGTGTTGACAATGAATGTAGTACCCAACAKATAAGAACGCCAATGTTGAACGGATAAGACTAAAGCCATTATTTCCCGTTCATACGCCGATTTTGCCAGATTACGATCACTTAAAGATTTGCTGAAGTAAGCGATGGGCTGTCCTTGTTGCATGAGCACAGCCCCGATGCCCCGCCCCGACGCATCACATTCAACAACGAAGGGTAGGCCGAAATTAGGAAGAGCCAAAACAGGAGCGTGTACCAAAGCATCTTTCAAAGCCTCAAAAGCGTTTTGAGCAACAGAAGTCCAAAGGAAAGCGTCCTTCTTAGTGAGATCGGTTAAAGGTCTCGCGATGCTGCCATAATGTTTAACGAATTTTCGATAATAGCCGGTAAGCCCCAAAAATCCCCGTAATCCTTTAATGTTTTGGGGTACTGGCCAATCAACGACTGCTTCCACCTTTTTAGGGTCCATGGCTACACCGGTGCGAGAAATGATGTGTCCCAAGTACTCCACCGACGATTGACCAAAGGAACACTTACTCTGATTTASTACAAAATGATTATGTAGTAACAGTGCCAAGACAGCCCTCAAATCACTTAAATGGGCTTCCCAACTTGGACTATAGATTAATATATCATCAAAAAATACAACAACCGATTTACGCARTAAGGATCGAAAAACATCATTCATTACTGCCTRAAACGTCGAAGGGGCATTCATTAAGCCAAACGGCATGACTAAGTACTCGTAGTGGCCGTCATGCGTCCGAAACGCTGTCTTTTCAATGCTATCAGGYCTCATACGAATCTGATTGTAGCCGGACTTTAAGTCCAACTTAGAAAAGTAATGAGCACCGTATAACTCATCCATAAGTTCCTCGACCATGGGAATCGGGAACTTATCCGGAATGGTAGCCTTATTGAGTGCGCGATAATCCACACACATACGCCACGTATTATCCTTCTTACGAACTAGGATTACCGGGCTCGAAAAAGCACTTTTGCTTGGACGGATCATTCCCAAGGATAGCAATTCACGTACTTGTCGTTCAATTTCGGCTTTCTGAATGTGGGGATAACGATAAGGACGTACACTAATGGGTTGTGGAGACAGCAACACGATAGCATGATCATGATCTCGGGACGGAGGAAGGCCTGTAGGGGCTTGAAAAACAGCCGAAAATGCGTCTATAAGTTGCTGTAATTCAGCAGTTTGAGCAGAAGACAAACCTGGCGTGTCGGTCGAGATGGCAAACAAGGAAAACCCGAGAGGAAAATGTATTGCTGATGGAGCCGTTAAGCAGGTCTGAAGTGACTCCGCAGCTGAGTGATCCGAAGTTAGTCCTTGGAGTTGAACGGGACTGCCATGATGCATAAAACGCATCCAACCCTTGTCCCAATTATGGGTGACCTCTCCCAAAGATCGTAACCACTCCATTCCCAATACCATATCCAAGTTTCCAGTGTTGAAAACTAAAGCATCCACCACAAAAGAACAATTGCCCAATACAATTGACAGTTGACAACACCTTTGATTTATGAATACTTTATGACCATCACCCAACTGAATATTGAGACCCTCAAACAGCGTTGAAGATAGACCCAGAGATGTTACCAACCTTTGAGAAATGAAGTTATGCGTTGCGCCACTGTCTACCAAAATAAGTAAAGGTATATCCGAAATAGTACCTTCTAATTTTAACGTTTTTCCTCCCGACAGTGTGGAACAGGCTCCAAATAGTTGCAAGGAAGCACACAAACCCTGCTCTGGTATTTCGTTTGGAGAACACCGGGACGGCGGCTCTTCCTCATCGTTACATAATTCCCCTTCGTTGACTTCGTATTCATCATCGCCTAACAACAGTACACGCAACTTCCCTTCTGGACATTTGTGTGCGGGACCGAATTGTTGGCCGCAACGAAAACATAGACCCTTCTTACGACGGTCTTCCCACTCCGATCGCGTAAGAGATCGAACCCCACGATCGCGATGCTGACCCTGAAAGAGCTCCGACGGGGACGATGCAGGTGGACGATAAGGCGGAAAACGAGAGGCATCGATTTTGACAGAAGGCGCCTTATCATTGTGGGCTGGTAAATGAGGCCCGCGAACATTGGGCTGGCCCAACTGAAAAGAACGAGACCCAGGCGACCCTTCGTTCATCCCACTCCCATGAAAATATCGATGACGGAAATGAGAAACCGAAGCCGACGAGGGACGAAGCATTTCTTCTACATCTTTTGCCAGGTACATCGCATCCAATCGAGATTGAGGTCGATGGAGACGGACCCAACGTTTGACATCGTCACGTAAGCCGGCGAGAAAATAGCCTAAAGCTTGAGACTCAGGCAATTTGGGAACCAATGATAAGAGATATTCGAAATCATCAATGTAATCGTGAATTGAAGTGGTCTGTTTCATTGTAGCTAATTGCTCAAAAGGATTTTGGATTTCAAGGCCGCTAAATCGCTGCAATAATTCAATTTGTAATTGCTCCCAAGTAAGAGGGTCGTGAACCTGTGTGACTATGGTAAACCAATGTTGAGCTACTCCCACCATACTCAACTGAGCTAAACGAATTCGAAGAGAAGGTGCGATATTATTAATATCGAAATACAGCGACGCCTTCTGGATCCAACCTTGAGGGTCAAAGCCATAAAACTCCGGGAGTTTGATTTTCTTTACTGCCCATGGAAGGCCTCCCGTAGGAGACAAGGGAACCGGTCCCGAATTAGAAAACAACCCCGACGTACCCCCTGTTGGTGACGGAGGAGAATCACCAGAAAACGTACCTGGATCACCCCGTGGAACATGGTTCTGCCGTTTCATCCAGCCCAGCATTAGTTGACGAAACTCACTGGCCTCAGCACGATCCACATCTAACACCGAAATCGCCGATTTGATCTCCAGCAAATCAGCCTGCAGACGCTGAATTAGCTCGTCCTGTTGTTCGAAACGGCTTTGAACAGAACGCGTCTCCATGAGTCCGGCAGGTCACAGGGCAGGTCGGACCAATGATAGAAAACAGAAAAATGAAGAAGATGATAGAGAAGGTATAGGGGAAAGGAAGCTGATGGAATTATGATCAAACAGAAAATTCAGAACAGTATCCAGGGAGAACCCCTCTCTCAATGCAACATGCAAAGAGCCAATCTAACAGAAAGCAGAAAATGAGATGCTAGAATACGTATCCCCCCTTCCCCTTAAAAAGAGACAAATAACAACTTTCTAGCCACTTTCCAAATTTACCCCTTTAGCCCTTCTAGAATAGACTTTCCACTCTACTGGTTTATTCACAATAGAATGCATAACTTCTGATTTCGTAACAGTCGTCGATAACAATGGCAGCATTGGCATTGAGGAGTTCAGATCAGATTTTTATGCATGAATTACTGTTTATTGATGTATATTACTTAAAATTCAAGATTACAAGTGATTTTGCGTAAGTACAACTTATTAAAGTTTCATTTTTAAATTCATATAATTAACTGCAGATAAACATAATCAAATACAAGATAAACATCTATTTTAAATATAGAAAATCTAAAATATAATTAAGCTAATTATTGAGTTTTTAACAGAATGTTTAATTATTATCTTTAATAAAAAATATATTCTTAAACCAAAAATAAATTATTTTGTTATTAGGCCTAAACTTTAAGATATGACTACTTTGGTCAAATAGCTCAGTCAATCTCAACATGTTCCCCACCACCACAAATTGAATATTGTTTGTTTGTTTGTAACAATTGTGTGCTACTTTAAACTGAGTGAGATAATTGTTGTTTAGTTTAATGTATGATATTTAGTTGCATTTCATCTTTTTATTTTTAATATTTTACAGATGTACAGGTTTTAAATATTTATTGTAAAAATATTTTAAAACTAATAATTTTATAAATTTTTGGCGGATATATACATCGAAAATAATTAAAATATTTAATGAATAAAAATAATCATTTTAAAAATAAAATACATTTCCGGTGGATATTTTTATAAAAACTTAAATATTTTTTTTAGTTTAATCAATATTTTTAAAATAAACCGGTGGAATTTTCCGACGGCTGGAATCCGCGGGAAAAAAATCTGCTGGGAAATTAACCATCGGCGGCTATATCCGCCGGAAATGTTGTCCTGTTTGGTGCTCTAATGACTTATAAAGAACGATATTTTTTGTAAAAATAATCTAAAAATATAAAATTGCAAAAATATAAAACAATATGATAAAAAAAATTTATTTTCTTTTGATACTAATCGAACATTTTTTTTATTTTTTAATATTTTAATGAGTTATCTTAAAGTTTAGGATAGTTATAATAAAATTTAAGATAATTGTATAAGTATTAATAAAAAAAATTATTTTCTTTCAATACTAATCAAATATTTTTTAAATTTAAAATATTGTAGCGTGTATTATTAAAGTTTAAGATAGTTATATTAAAATTTAAGATAATTACATAATCTTTTTTGATTTAAGTCCATTTATAACTCAGTACATATAAATAAGGTTATAGCTAAAGACCAATTTCATTGAACCCTTTTAGATTTTAACCGTCAAAGAAAAACAAAAGGAAACCTTTATTTTCTTTCTGTTATAAACACATATTAGATTTAGGGTTTTGAGCTAGCACCCGGTGGAGGCCATAAACGTATTTCTGTGTGCACTATCGATAGAGAAAACCTAACTTGGTTTCTAAGTGCTCCGTCAAAACCGATTGACAAATCCGATAAGGCAATATCTCTAAAAACGCTATGGCTTGTTTATGCTTATTTGAATGTAACTCAATTCGGTTAAGATAAAATTGAAAGTTGAAGGATCAAATATGTAAATTGCTAAACTTGAAGGTCTACTTTTTAAATTATTTTTATAATATCTTCATCTCTATTCATAACATACTTCTATAAATTGTTTCTTCATCGTCTCTTGAATTCACGTACGCATCTTTTCGACAGTTTACATAGACACAAGAATGGGGATAATAGTAATCGACGGATCAACGGTGCGAGCCTTCGTGAACGACGACGTTCAATTCAGACGCAGCGTGGACGAACGGTTCGTGTCTCTGGACACCAATAACGACGGAGTTTTATCGAGATCCGAGATGCGAAAAGCGTTTGAAGTCATGCGGTTGTTAGAGTCTGATTCTGGTGCCGATAACAATGGCAGCATTGGTATTGAGGAGTTCAGATCAGAGGTGAAGAAGATGATGCTTGTTGTTGCTGAGGGGATTGGATCGTCGCCGATGCAGATGGTGGTGGGAGACGATGACCAGAATTTTCTGAAAAAGGCCGCTGATCTGGAGGCTTCTAAGATTTGTTGATCCGACGATCACCGTAGGTTATATCGGTTATGATTATATTTATTTGAATTCAGTTATGAACTATTTAATTCTTCCATTTTACAATAATATATTGATATTAGTATTAAATAAATAATTTTAATTTTTTATGTATAATTTTAATTTGATTTTTT